CAGATTGTGAAGATCCTTGTAGGCCACGGAAGTGAGTTTGAGCTCCATTCTGAGGGCAGCGGGGAGCTGGTAAAGTGCTTCCAGGCTAGGAGGGGCATGCATTTTGCCTTACTGTGTGTGGTTTTCCACATTCAGAGGAACCCTGGAGTGTAACCCTGGAGAAACAGAGGGGGAAGCGACTTGCCTAAGAGCATTCTTCTGTTAGTTGCAAAACGACCGAAAGGCAAGCCTCTGGGAGATTGCAAATAGAATTGAGAGATCAGAGAATTATTTTTGTCTAAAATCCTAACAAACCATGTCTATAATACTCTTTTTTGTTTTTAAGCAATTTATTGGTGGCTTAAAACACGCCGGGTGCGTGTGCGTGCGTGCCCAAGATCCCGAGAGGAGAATGGAGGAGAAGGGATTGCGGCATGACCATCCCCTCTGGGGGGTGATTTCTCGCTTTCTGTCTCTCTGTCTCTCTCTGTCTGTCTGGTGAGCGCACGCGCCCTATAGCAAAAACCTCTCAAAATAAATAAATAAATAAATAAAATATATCAGAATTTCCTTAGTGTATTACATTTACTATTTCATCTTTTTAAGAGCTTAAGGAATACATGCAAGTGTTCTCATCTCAATTTTGCAGAATGAAGACTATAAGGCTCAGTAAACTAGGATAATTGTCCCATTCGTGGTCCCACAATTGGTAAGTAGAAGAATGGGAACTATCTGTCCCCAAGTTCCCACACTCCCAACCATTTTGTGAGAGCCACCAGACTAGCCTCTGAGGACACAGAAACACTGACCTCTGCTTCCTCGGTTACATTGTTGCCTTCCAAATCCAGTTCAGAATATGCCCAAGACCCTCCTTATCAAGTCTTATCAGAAATTACTGTAAATAGTATTTGTTTAAATAAAGATAAAATGTTCTTTGATACCAACTTATATGTAAAAGATCTGACCTTCAAGGGAAGCCAGGCCCCCAGAAATTTTGGAAAATTAGCAAAATGAAAAAAGACAGCAGGAAATAGAAGGCATGCCTTTCCAAATGGCCCAGGATGGAGCTGCAATCTATTTCAACCACAAAACTGTCCTTCCATTTCCATCTATAAAATAACAGGGTTACTTCTCAGAATTCCGTGAGGATAAACTGAGCCCATCTATATAGAGTACTTAGCATAGTGGCTGGTTCCAAATACACACTCGATAAATGTCAGTTTAAAACATATGCTTTCACAGGGACCAGCAGGCAGCATGGTGGTTGGGACACTGGACTCTCACATGGCTGGCAGTTCAAGTCCCGGACCTGGAGGCTTGTTTTCTCACTTTCTCTCTCTCTCTCTGTCCAGCACATGTGCCCTATTGCAAACTAGACATAATAATAATAATAAAATAAAATATACAATTCTTTAAAACAAAAACAAAAAATGTGCTTTAACAAATTATTTCAAATTCAAATGACGAGATAGACAATTCAGTATCCTATGGAAAGACCTGGGGTCTGGGTCCAGTGAGAGTTGGGTAACCCTTCTCCTTTTCGGACCTCAGCTTTCAGCTATATATGTATGAGGCAATTTTGAGCAAGTGGCCAGGTTTTATCTAATGGTCAATGTATATTGTGTAACTGACCAGTTTCTCCTTTCCCACTAACTGCATGAATGCTTAAAACCAAATACGTGAGCCTAGTGTAGCAAGTGCTTAGCATCCAGAGGTTTTACTTTCTTTCTTTCTTTTTAATCTTATGCACATTTTCTCTCCATATATTTTTCTTTTTCCTCATAAATTTCTTACTGCTTTTTTAATTTTTAATTTAATGTATTCTTGAACTTAAACTAACATATTAGTAAACCCATGGATTTAGTTTAGAAGGGGGGAATGAGGCTGTCTGTCATTGTGGTAAGAAGTATGGCTTTGGTTCTACTACCTTGGACAAATGATTAAATCTCAATTATAAAATGGAACAAATGGGGACCAGTAGATGGTGTAGCAGTTATAGGTCACTGAACTCCCACATGGTCAACCATAGTTCGAGTGCTGGACCTGGTAGCTTGAAAAAATCACACCAGGCATGTGTGTGTACGTCCTCAAGATCGTAAAGGAAAAGGGATCGTGGTGCGCTCCTCCCACCTTGCCAAGGATAGTTTCTTATTTTCCCTCTCACTGTTTCTGTCTCTCTCTCTATCCAGTGAGTTCACAAGGTTTTGCAAAAACCTCTAAAGGGTCGGGGAAGGGAACCAAATGATTGTATTTTTCTCATAGGATGATTATGAAGATTAGATCATGCACTTGGTAAATATAGCCATTGTTATGTTATTATTATTGTTATTATTATTGTTATTATTATTATTTATGTTTTCTCTCTCCAGAACCAGTGCTCATGCCCATTCCAGATACTCCATACTGGTTTCTACAAAACAGGGCCTGGTGATGTTTTTCCACTGGAGACCTTGGTATCTTAAGTGACTTGAAGTTTTTCTAAAAGCTAGACAATGTTGTCACAGGTGGAACCACAGTGTGTGGGCCACCGCTTTGTAAGAGGCAAGGCAATTCTCACTTGAGAGTCAATCCTTTTACTGGTGATGGTGCAGCCTGGGATTAAATGTGAAGAAAACCTGAAAGCAGTAGACAGACAGCTACAAACTTCAATGGCCAAGTATGAAGAGTTCACTTCTAATTGTTCATTCACTGAACTCCTGTTCTGGATCAGGCTTAGTGCCAGGCTCAGAGGACACAGCCAGGAATAAGATAGATACCTCCCTCTGTCTTAGACTTTAGGGCCTAATGATGAGATGCAGATGAGAGTATGGCATAGACAACACAGCACAGATGGTATAACAGAGGAAGCCCAGAGAGCCACGGGAACATAGATGACTGATCCTAACCTAACCCAGAATGTAGGGATCTTGGAGGAAAAGACATTTAATATCAAAAAGATGAATGGAAATTAGGTATGTTGAGAGAAAGTGTGGAGGGTAGGGGAGTATTCCAAGGAAGAAGCCTGGCTTGTGCCTTTAAAGGTCAAATGCATAAGAGAATACAGCAACCTTGGGGAACTAAAAGAGGTTCCTTCCAGCCGAAGTGCAGTAAGCTTGTTCACCTCCAGAGAGCCCAGAGAGCTTGATACCAGATTGTGAAGATCCTTGTAGGCCACGGAAGTGAGTTTGAGCTCCATTCTGAGGGCAGCGGGGAGCTGGTAAAGTGCTTCCAGGCTAGGAGGGGCATGCATTTTGCCTTACTGTGTGTGGTTTTCCACATTCAGAGGAACCCTGGAGTGTAACCCTGGAGAAACAGAGGGGGAAGCGACTTGCCTAAGAGCATTCTTCTGTTAGTTGCAAAACGACCGAAAGGCAAGCCTCTGGGAGATTGCAAATAGAATTGAGAGATCAGAGAATTATTTTTGTCTAAAATCCTAACAAACCATGTCTATAATACTCTTTTTTGTTTTTAAGCAATTTATTCCTGGAAGATGAAAAGACAAGGAAGAAAGAACAGAGAGAAATAAATCACCTAGCAAACGATAATATCTAAAATAATATGCCCTTTAGAATTAAATCTGATTTATTGATTATTTATAATCACCAACACTGAAAATCCTAAGGATCATGGTGGAAAGCTAAAAACTAAAAAAAAAAAAAGCCTCAATTCCATTTTTAAAGCCACCTTCCACAAACACCCCCACATCTTTCTCACAAGGCACCAGGGACAGAAATATATACACATTACGTGTGTGTGTGATCCTTCCTTCCTGAAATAGCGATTTAAATAGGAATGAGTGATGTGACATCCAACGCCAAAGGATCATGAATTTCTGGGCACTTGGGAAGTGATTGGAGATCAGTAAGGGCAAAGATGTCCTTAAGTCCTTTGCTGAGACTTGAATAATGTGATTCCTCGTAAATGTCTCTTATTAGGACTAGCTGAGTGATTAAGTATACATTCGTGGACCCGAGGCCGACATTTCCCAAAGGTTCTCTTGCGATAAGACTTTATCCCTTTATAAACTTTACAATGTCTCAGAAGCCTTCACACTATTTACTCTGTGAGGTATGAAGGGCCACTGTCATCCCCGGTACTACAGATACGGTGACATCTCCATTGCAGAGTGGCGAAGTGACTTGCTTAGGTGTCTCATGGTTAGGATTGATGCAACCCGACTTGAACCCGGTTTGAAGGTCGACCAGGCTTCATATCAATTATTATTTTTTTTTTAAGAGCCCTCCATGGGAGGTAAGTCTTGAAAGTGCCTGTCCTCTCAGTTCCCTCCCAGCCTCGACTTTTCGCAATGATTTCCTGTCACCTTTGGTACTTTAGGTAATTCTTCCTGAATGAGGCTAGGTCAAGCTCCTGCTAAAGAGGACAGCTTCAGGGATTCTGCTCCAAGGAACTGAAAGAGGGAGGGAGAAGTTATTCCTGAGGAAGGCACAGGACAGACCCACTCATGGCAGTCCCCTACCCCAGGGGTTATCTTCCATCACTTCGCCTGCTCCTTTCCTTCACAGAACTTCTCGCAGCTAAAGCCGCGCACTTGCTAGGTTACTGCACGCCCATCTCGCCCGGTAGATGTAAGCTTAAAGGGCAGGGAAATTGGATTTTGCTCCAGTGACATCCAGCTCCTGGCACGGTGCTTGGAGCAAAATAGGTGATCAATGAAGACTCGGTAAATCAATGAGCACTTGGAAATAACGTGAGACCACTGAGATCCGACGGGGCCCGCAGCGCCCGTCCTTCCACTGCGGCAGGTGTGGTTCTCCGCTGACAGAGGCCGTGGAGCCAGTCCCCCTCCGTGCCTCACACCCAGAGCAGGGCTGCCGACTCTCCGGGGGCGGAAGGCCCGCATCCCGACAGCCCACCAGCCCAAGGTGCAGGTCATGGGTGTGCCAGCCTTACAGGGGATGGTGCCGGGAGCCCCTCACCGCAGCCATTTCCTGCTCTTTGTGCGGCAGCAAGGGCGGCGAAGGGGCTGGGCACCGGTGCGGAGGAGGAGTCGCAACGCGCGTGGGGCGGGGCCGGGGCGGACCCAGCTCGGCTGCCAGCGGAGCGGATCCGGGCAGAGCATCCTGCGCCCCGGCGCGGGGCCCAGCGGCAGCCCCGGGCCCCTGCCCTGGACCGGCTGCAGACCCAGGTAAGCGGCGTTAGCAGGCCTCAGAGCCGGCGCGGGGATCGGGCTGCTGCTGGGAACCCGGCTGCCGCCGAGAGGATGCGCGAGGGGCCGGCGCCCCTTCTTCCAGCCCGAGGGGGGCGCTCGGCTCCGCGCCCGGGCTAGCGCGGCCTGGGGGTCCCCGGAAAACCCTAGAGGCCAGGCCTCAGGCCCCGCGCTGCTCCTTTTTCCCTCTGGCCCACTCTGGGCTCCGCGGCGCGGACCCTTTGCCAGGAGGCGCGGGCATATCGCGGAGCTCGGACTCGGCGGCCGCGGCGGCAGCAGCAGGTGCCACCTTCTTCTGGGCCTTGGGAGCCACGGGGTTCAGCTCCCCGGCAAAGAGCGCGCTCACTTCGTCCGCTACCGGCACGTCCTTGTCCGCGCCCAGGTACTGCAGTACGCCGGCCCACGCCTCTGCCGCCGCGGCCACCATCCCCCAGGGCCGGCGAGATCCGCCTGGGCCCGCCTGGCAGCCGCCTTGGGCGCTCAGCGGCCTGCGGTGAACGTGCGTGGGAGGGGCGAGGGGTACAGCTGGGTATGTCCGGGGGTTGAAGCGTTTGATGGGAGAAGAGGGACGTCTGACCCGCTTTGAAGCATTCTGGCCTACACTAGCATTGCCCTCCTGCTGACTGGGGGCGGGGAAGGTGGGGACAGCGCTGAGTGGGAGGTCTCCCGCGGAAAAGGATTGATTTTCTTGAACTCCGAAGAACCAGAAAGATGCCAACCTGTCAGTTATGGCTTCTGATTTTTAGGACAGCTAGAATCCGCTACCCCAGGTACAGCCCACCTGTGTACAAAGGAAGAGAAGGAGGTGTTAGGGCCGGGGAGGAGGTATCCCAGGGGAAGGAGGTAGCATGGCGGGACAGAGGTATGGCTCTCAGGTCAGAGAACTGGCTGGAAAGGACACTGTCTGCCCAGGTGCCCTCTCCAGCCCAGGAGTCTGACTTTGACCTTTGCCTGCCTAGTTTCCCCAGCACAGTGAAGCATTCACGGGACTGACCAGCCATCTGCCCTTCCAGCTAGGCCTTGCAAAAATGGGGCAAGGGTCTTTTCTTGCTAGCCCCTGCCTGCGGTGCCCTCACAGACTGGGGCAGGCCCGCTGGCAGGAGGGGCAGATCAGGAGAGTGTTGCTTCCTGTGCTATTTTCCACCTCCTGCCTGTGTCCCCTTTAGGGCAGGGAGTCTCACCTTACTCTTGGGCATGGCTGTTAGAACTGCTGCCAGCAACCTGGGGCCCTCAGATCTCAGAGAGCAAAAATCTAGGCTATACCTCTGGGTAGAATTGTGAAGGTCTTGAAGGTAGTTATCTCTGCAGTCAGACCCATCTCTGGGCCCTCTCTGAGGCCTTCCACCTTCATTGCCATATAGTGCTCTCTGCTTCCCCATTCTCCAGTGTCAGAAATTGTTTACAAGAAAGGGGCCAGGGAATACCCAACAATTTCTTATTTAATGCAGAGTAGGTGCTTTGGCCAGGGAGGAAACAGAGGATGGGAGGCATTTTAATAGGGAACAAAGCTTTAAGTCAAGATCTGATATCTCTAATGGTGGAATTTCAGACAGTGGACCAGAAGTAGGGGTGGGGAGCTGGGGATCTCTTTGGAGGAATAGTTCTCTGAAATGACAGAATCTAGCAGCCATCTATGCTCAGCAAGGACAGCTTTGGCCCTAAGGGCAAGAATACTGCAGGACTATGCTTGTGTGTGTGTGTGTGTGAGAGAGAGAGAGAGATTGGTCAGGGGTTACTGTATGTGTGATTGGTCAGGGGTTACTGTCACCACAGGCATTTGTTGAACCCCCAGTGCCCACTGCGGGGATGTGAAACTTGCGTGTAGAGAGGTACTTGTTGGCATTGGCCGCCATCTGTCAAGGCAGCTATCATGCCACAAGAAGAGTGTGTTGCTGCTTTCAAAGCCAGTGCCTCTGGGTAGTTCTGCACACGGAGCCTCTGGCTGGGAGCATTAGTTCTCTGCTCACTAAGCTTCTTTATTATATTTCCTGGCCAGTTCCAACTGGTTCTGTGGGCACCCAAGGCTGCCTTGTTCAGTCCCTGCTGGAAAATGGAAGAGGAAAACTTGCTTTAGGCATTAGGCCAACAGTGGGATATGTAATCCACTAGGGTTGGCAAGTTTGACTGAAATCAGATTGGGGGCTGGTCCAGAGAAGGAAGTAGACATGAATTTAAAAACTGGTAAAGGGCCCCAGGAGACCTCTATTTGTCCCCTCTGATAAATCATGCCCTCTTGGGGGTTCAGTGGGCCTCCATTGCTGTCGTTGACCAGAAAGCAGAATTAGGTGATGAATAGGCAATGAACTAATTAGCATTGGGCACAGCACTCCTGGAAAACAGTGCAGCCTCTAGTCTTCACGTCGAAGGATGGCCTACGTGCTCAGAGAGGCTTCTTTTGGCCACTGTTGGCCCCAGGGTTCCACCAAGAGCTTCACAAAATGGGCTTTTATAACCTCCATGTGGCCACCACAACAATGAGTCTATTTCTTTACTGGCAAGTATTAATTATTCACTTGTAGTTGACGAAACCAGACATCAGTCACCTCATTGGAGTCTTTGTGAAAGGCCTTTGGTCTTGTCATTCTGAGGAGCAAAGCCATGTCTAGGGTGCAGAGGACTGCCCCTGCAACAGTAGTGGAAGTGGCGGGAGGGGTAGGGCATGCTGCTTCCTTCTAGGCAGTGAATGAGAGGCTAGCTGTGGTGGGGGAGGAGCTGGTAATCTTTGGATGCTCTTATTAAATGAGGGATGCAGGAAAGTGCTAAGCAAAGTGCTGAGCACGTGGTAAGGCCTACTGTATTTGTGTTTATTGTTATCATGTATTACATAATCATTAAGAACTGGCTTATGTGCTAGTGCACGCACAGCTCCACCAACGCCTTTACCTCCAAAGCTTCCCTGAATGTTGCCTTTTTGAGGGGAATGGATCTCTGTGACCCATAAACCCAGCAGCAGGTTTGCCTGCAAAAGGTAGCAAAAGGAAAGACTGATGAGAGATGGTGTCAGTCAGAGCTTCAGGTAGGGAGTGTTTATGAGCAGCACATGGAGGGTGGGTGGAACTTGAGAAGGCAGGGAGGATGGGGAAGGAATAAGCTGAGCAGAAGTCCAGAGGTAACTCTCACATTTCAACACTCGGAGTTCAGGAAAGACCCCTTCCTCTCTGTGCATTCAGTATTTTGCAACCGACCAAAAATGTTGAGGGCATATTCGCATCCCAGGCAGGCAGCAGTGCAGTGGACTTAGTATACAGGATTTATCCCCAGCTTGCTGTGTGCCTTTAACCCAAACACTACCTCACACGGACTTTAAAAACAGCAATGGCAAGCAGTCTGCCCAGCTTGTTACCTGCCTGTCCTCACAGGAGCCTATAGATGAGATAATGTCTGTAAATCGTACTCTGGAAAGAAAAGGCCATGGAAGTAGAGAAGAGAAGGAGGCTCCTGAATGGGTGGCTCTTTTGGATGGGTGCCTTCCCTTCCTAAAGGAACAATTTATTAATTATATATTGTGTGTCAGTTTAAGACGACGAATCTGTGGCCTCTCTGTACCATTGAGCCAACAGGAAACTGAAAAGCACTTTGTGATTCAGATTCTGTCGAGGCCCCTAGATGGCCTTGCCTGTACAAAGCCACTTCAGATTAAGTCAGTGGGTGTGGGATGCCTCCCAGGATGCAGTTTGGCCATTGGCTTCCTAGCCATGGCCATTACTTTGAGGGCTATGTACGCTGTGCCTCAGAGGATGGCCATTTAAGCCATACTTCTTGGACCCTGGCAACAGAGGAGAAAAAAAGGTGGTGCATAGTCTTGAATTAACTTATTTTGAGAAGGCAGAGCTTGAGTTCAGGCAAAATTTCCTACAGGAATTATTCTGGTTGAGTGACATTTTGATGGACTTACAGCAACTCAGAAGCAGTGCAGTGAAAGAGGGAAGTAAACGCAGCCTTCTGGAGAGATGCCTGAGAGAAACTCGATGATGACCTCATCAGTAGGTCTTTTGATTTTGTGTTTACATCATTGTTAGGTCATCATAGAACAATGGTTCTCAGACTTGACTCTCTAGGTGGAATGGAGGGATGCTTAGCATGGCCAAGCTCTGCTTTGAAAGTGAGATGGGAGATGAGGTCCTTACACAAAGTAAAGGTGGTAGGCTGGTTAGGAAGTTTCAGGAGACTGCCGGGGTTTATAACAGCTGCATGTGTGGGTGGAATAAGGAATCAACTAGGAATGAATGAGAGAATTGTTTAACTTCACCCAGGGCCCAGCTGAGATCAAAGAGAATCTGTAGGCCGTCCCCTAATAGAAGACACTCACTAATTCAGTGTTAAGTAAGGGATACCTAAGAAATATTTTCAGTGTGTACTTTGAAAACATGATGCTTGGCCTAACCTGGTGGTACAGTCCATAGCAATCTGAACCACACTGCTGGAAGCCACAGAGCTGACTATGGTTCAGGTCCCCAGGTTGACTAAGAGTGCACCAAGTACTTGCACCCAAGATCATGATGGGCTGGAAGGCTGGAAAGAGGGGAATCAGAGCATGATGAGACACTGTCAAGGGTGTTTCTCCCTCTCTTTCTCTAACATACACTCTCTATCATGGATAAAATAAATAAATTTTAAAAATTATGATGCTAATAGACTACTTTTTGCAAGGTGCAAATGGTGAGGTAAGACTTCAAAACTAGCGGTCATCCTTCAGCCTCCAAGTCTGTTTTATCTCCACATGGGAAAGAGAAATGAGGGTCTGCTTCTGATTTGAGGTGATTATTGTATGAGAAATTTTCTAAAATCTCTTCAAATTCTTATAGTAATAAGGCTAATTTAGATATAGTTCCTTAGAGGACTGTGATGTTTGAATTTTTTTAAGAGACATTTTTGATGTTGGGCATGTGTGCTTACCAGAGAGACAGAGAGAGACAGACAAAAAAAGAGAAATCCCCCCCCTGGGGGGATGGCCATGTCATAATCCCTTCTCCTCTAGT